GTGCGTTTGTCTATTTACTTTTTAAAATAATATAGCGTTAAATAATAATTGTTTTTTTTTTTTTTTAGAATAAAGCGTTGGGAAATCAATTGATACAAACTATTTGACGATACCGAATGATTGAGACCAAGGTAGCGGAATCGATTTTTAATATATATATCCAGGTAAAATGAGAAGGTTGAACGTCAGACTTCGACACATCTTACAAAATAATCTAACAACTTGTATCAGTCCCTAAGGAAATTGTCTAGGATTTATATGCAGACAACTTCGTGTCCTCTCCTATATTTAAAAACAAATTTCCGCTGGGTTTGAATTTAACGTAGGTTACATTCACGATGTTGTGAAAACGTATTCGAAGATGATTTCAAAATATTAGATAAGCTCGATTGAACGTTTTCACAACATCGCCCACTGACGACGACGTGATCATATTAAAACGGAACACTGATCTTATAAAAAATTTCAGTTATCTGTTTGGATTAGTCTTACTCTTATGTCCATCGTCTTTTTCATGTTGAATTGAATGTAGTCTAATGTTTATTATATTTTATGAATATGTCCTGAAGATGGTCGACTAGACCGAAACGTCCGATGTTGACATTATATTAATATTAAAACAGCATAATTGCATATTAGGTTTTTTGTTTGTTTTTCCGTATATTTTTCTTCATACTTTCGGATCTATATCCGTATATTTACTCACACACACACACACACACACACACACACACACACACACACACACACACACACACATATATATATATATATATATAGTACAGCAAAAGGCGGATAATTTCGGAAGAGTCCAAAGGAAGTTAATTCTGACAGGCAGTTTGTGCAATAAAACATCAGCAAAAGTTCTCCCGTGCTGAGTGATCAGAGGGGGAAAGATGCTGCACGCGTTGCAAATGATACGTATACAGGAGATGCTCTTGAAGTACGCTCCATGCCATTCTTGTATGAGATGCTAGGGCCACTTGGCGTGTGCTGATACCCGGACCGTCTCCAACAGCCTGTCGAATGTGTTCTTCGTGATCAGATGTACGAGCAGATCTCGGTCTTCCTCGATCCATAGCTATTGGTTCCACTGACACTGTCCCAGCAACGCGACGATAAACAGCCACAAAGGTTGGACGACTCGGATGCCTTCGGTCTGGAAACGCAATCTGAAACAGCCGTGCAGCCTCGCGCCCATTACTATTCTTGTTGCCGTATGTAAAAATCATATCTATCTACTAACGATATGAATATCCTACCATTGTTAAACGGAACGCCTCTCAGTTAACTCACTGCTACACATGTTAAATAATGTTCCTGTAGACAGCTGCTGTAAGACATGCTGAGAGAACATATGGACCTACTAGACAGTCACTTACAATTCCAGCACACACGTTAATCATAAACTGATGCTGGTGTCTAGCCTGTATTGCAGTCTGAGGATTTTGATCCAGCCACAAATGTTGGTTGGATACATTTCTTATTCGATATCTTCTAAATATTGTCTTATCCTTAAACAAGACTGAAGAGACAAACAACAGATCGACAGTGTAATAAGGAACAGAACTAACAAAGTACCTTGATGAAGGCTTTAATAAACAGAGTTGGCCAAAACGAGGCTAAGAGCAAATAAGAATATAAAGACTACAAGTAAAAGTATATATATAAAGTATATATATATATATATATATATATATACACTTTTATAAAGAATACAAGTAAAAGTGTATATATATATATATATATATATATATATATATATACACTTTACTAAGCTAAGACAAATAAGAATATAAAGACTACAAGTAAAAGTATATATATATATATATATATATATATATATATATATATATATACACTTTTACTAAGCTAAAAGCAAATAAGAATATAAAGACTACAAGTAAAAGTGTATATATATATATAATAAAAAGGCTTAAACACTAATATTCCATGGTCAAAAAATTTATTCCATGAAATCATAGGTCATGATCCAATTTCATCAGATTTTACAATTTCAAAAAAAAAAAAAAAAAACTTTTTATTATATCCTTACTTTGTCTTAGACATTGAGTTCTACCTGGATCCTTCCTCTTGGAAAATTTTTTCTGAAAATATTCATGTATGAGAATTTTTAGATATATTTTTCATATGTATGTATATTTTCCACTAATATTATCTATCTATATATATATATATATATATATATATATATATATATATATATATATATATATATACACTTTTTTGTTAAGAGCAAATAAGAATATAAAGACTACAAGTAAAGTGTATATATATATATATATATATATACACTTTTACTTGTAGTCTTCATATTCTTATTTGCTCTTAGCAAGAATATAATGACTACATATTATAAAGAATATAAAAGACTACAAGTAAAATATATATATATATATATATATATATATATACACACACTTTTACTTGTAGTCTTTATATTCTTATTTGCTCTTAGCCTATATATATATATATATATATATTGAACAATAAAAAATATTATAAATTAAAATCTTCAGACACGCTGGGTTGTAGATTAATATTCTTTCGTTTTTTTTATTATTATTATTTCATTTAGATTCCTCGACTAGTGTCGGCCAAAATGGCCATCATCAGAAGAAATATTTCTGCTTGCTGGTAGCAGTAAACTACAGAAATGAATGTCTTGATGGAGAAAATGAACTTTTGTCTATAGTTTTCATTTGCTTTTTTTAAATTTTTTTATCTTTTTAACATGAATCTTTTAACATTCCTTGTGTTGGTCAAACAGTCTCTTTTAAGTTGTTATTTGAGATAAGAGCTGAATGGATCTATGCTGCTCTGAATTCCACTGGTCAGCTTGACAGTTTTATTGGTTCTGGAGAGGAGATGTATCTCTGTTAAGTGTGTGTGAGTGTGTTATTTGATTCTTAAGGAGTGAGTGAGTATGATATGTGTAAGCGTATATATTGCTGTAGGTGTGTGTTATCATGTGGCTCATTAGGGAGTGAGTGAGTGTGATGTATGTAAGTGTGTATATTCGTGTCGGTGTGTGTATAAGTGTGAGGCCTCAACACCTTCGTAAGCATGTCTGTCTTGTGTGGGTGAGAAATGTGGGTAGGTTTTGATTTGTAGGGTTATATATTAATACTATCTATATTGTTAAATTGATGGTTTAGCCTGGCTGGATAGTGTGTTTTTAAACGTTGTATCCACTTATTTTCATGGAACTCTAAAATTTTTTCTAATGTTATCTGCTCTGAACTTTTCTATTCTCTCAATATATATATATATATATATATATATATATATATATATATATATATATATATATATATGAATACATACTGCTTTCTGAAGTCTCCAAGCGAAATATAAAATATTACCATGGCTTTCTGAAGTCTCCATATCTGTGCTGGGACATAGTTTTTGTACATGCAAACATGTGTACCCCCGTCTGTGCAAATAGGTACTTGAGTATTCGTGTGTCGTATGTTGTATTCGCGTAGATTAAGCGTTATGTATATATATCTGGGATCACTTGATGAAACACTCTTAAGTGCCCCTTTATAACTACAAGTTTAGTAATGTATTTGAGGACATCTTACATGTTACTGATTTAGAAATGTGCTAGCCAAATATATGCATAAGTGTTTATAAATACAAATAGATAAATAGATGAATATGAGTGTATAAATGTGTTTATACATACGTATACGTGAAAGCATATATATGTGTAGATGGATGCGAATGTGTGTATGGATGTAGGCATATATGTGTAAGTGTAATTATATGTGTATATAGAAAGATGTGTATGCATGTAGATATGGGGAATTGTGTAAGATCTCCGATTTCTCCCTTTCTCTCATCTGTTCCCTGCCTCTCCCGCTGTCTTTATTCCTTTCTCTCGTCCGGTGAATGAGAGGTCAACGCCACAACCATCGTATCTCCAAGGGACATATGCCTCCCTTCTCACCTTCCTACAACTTCCGCTGATCCTGTTTTTTAATTTCGTTTTTCGGTTGATTCCAGAATTTTTGAATCCACTCATTGTTTTGAAACCGCAGGTCTGACGAAGCGAAACGGATTTTTATCGGTCTCGCGAAATATAAAATATTACCATGGCTTTCTGAAGTCACCGATTTGTTAATTAATCATTACTTGCTCTGTTTACTATAGTGAGCTCTCGGGATTTATATCCTCCCTGGAATTATTGATACGGATTACCAATTAACGTTATCATCATCATATATATATATATATATATATATATATATATATATATATATAGAGAGAGAGAGAGAGAGAGAGAGAAAGAGAGAGAGAGAAAGAGTGGGGGGAAGATAGTGAGTGGGAAGGAGGAGATAGGGAAACACAGACAAAGATAATATATATTCAATAAGCCTATAAATAATTATAATTGAAATCATAATATATATATATATATATATATATATAATATAGTGTGTACATACTTGAGAATGCAAAATATTTTTGTTTATGAAATTCCAAGGTAAATATTTTACAACCAATCAAAAGGCGAACTTTTGGAATAACAAATTCATTCAAAGCAATTTCCAGTTAAAATAACATCATGCGATTTAATATAGAAATTCATTACTATTTTCTCTTGAAATACTTTCTAAAATATTGCGTCTCCGAACGAATTTCAAAAGAATGATTTTGCATTCGAAATTGTTTACTAATCAAAAGCAGTTGAAAAAATTCCAATAGCAAAACAGAAGAAATCTTTGGTCGCCTTAAAACGCTGAAAATTACAGTTTTTTTCTAGTCATACACGTTCGTCCTTTTTATTATCATGTACAAGCGTACGAAATAGCATCTATCTATCTATCTATCTATCTAAAATCCATTACGAAATAGCATCTATTATTCAGCTTATTCTATATATATATATATATATATTCACATCTATATATCTATATATATATCTATCTATCTATCTATCTATCTCAGCTTATTCTATATATCTATATAAGCCTTATCCACATTTATTTATCTATCTATCTATCTAAATATTTATCTATCTATCTATCTATCTCAGCTTATTCTATATACTTATGTATCTCAGCAAATTCATTCAAATCTATCTATCTATCTATCTATCTATCTATCTATCTATCATCTATCTATCTATCTATTTCAGCTTATTCTATATATCTATGTATCTCTTGAAATTCACATCTATCTATCCATCTATCTATCTATCTATCTATTATCATCTATCTATCTATTTTGCATTCTATATATCTATGTATCTCAGCCTATTCACAAATCTATCTATGATCTATCTATCCATCTAGCAAATCTATCTATCTATCTATCTATTTCAGCTTATTCTAAATCTATCTATGAAAATTATCCATTTATCTATCATCTATCTATCGTCAGCTTATTTATATATCTATATATCTCAGCGTATCCACATCTATCCATCCATCCATCATATCATCTATCTATCTATCCTATCTATCTATCTCATATTCTATATATCATGTATCAGCCTATTCACATCTATCTATCTATCTATCTATCTATCTATCATCTATCTATCTATCTATCTATCTATCTATTTCAGCTTATTCTATATATCTATATCTCAGCCTATTCACATATCTATCTATCTATCTATTTCAGCTTATTCTATATATCTATGTATCTCAGCCTATTCACATCTATCTATCTATCTATCTATCTATCTATCTATCTATCTATATATCTATCTATTTCAGCTTATTCCCATCATCTATCTATCTATCTATCTATCTATCTATCTCCATTATTCTATATATCTATCTATCTCAGCTTATCCACATCTATCCATCCATCTATCCATCCATCATCCATCCATCTATCTATCTATCTCAGCTTATTCTATATATCTATGTATCTCAGCCTCATTCATCTATCCATCCATCTATTCATCTATCTATCTATCTATCTATCTATCTATCTATCTATCTATCTATCTATTTCAGCTTATTCTATATATCTATGTATCTCAGCCTATTCACATCCATCTATCTATCTATCTATCTATCTATCCATCTATTTCAGCTTATTCTATATATCTATGTATCTCAGCCTATTCACATCTATCCATCATCATCTATCTATCCATCCATCTATCTATCTATCTATTCCATCTATCTATTTATTTATTCTATCTATCTATCTATCTATCTATCTATCTATCTCAGCTTATTCTATATATCTATATATCTCAGCCTATCCACATCTATCTATCTATCTATCTATCTATCTATCTATCTATCTATCTATCTATCTCAGCTTATTCTATATATCTATGTATCTCAGCCTATTCACATCTATCTATCTATCTATCTATCTATCTATCTATCTATCTATCTATCTATCTATTTCAGCTTATTCTATATATCTATGTATCTCAGCCTATTCACATCTATCTATCTATCTATCTATCTATCTATCTATTTCAGCTTATTCTATATATCTATGTATCTCAGCCTATTCACATCTATCTATCTATCTATCTATCTATCTATCTATCTATCTATCTATTTCAGCTTATTCTATCTATCTATCTATCTATCTATCTATCTATCTATCTATCTATCTCAGCTTATTCTATATATCTATATATCTCAGCCTATCCACATCTATCTATCTATCTATCTATCTATCTATCTATCTATCTATCTATCAGGTTTTGCAGTCGTCTATATTCTATGACAGGCAACATTTAAATATGTACGTATTTTCTCAAGACTAGATAAACTCTATGTCAGGTTTTATTATGCAATTTAATGATTTTACAATGCATTTGGTATTAAGCAAAACCTATGATATCAAATGTTCAATGTTATATGAGTAAATTTATAATGAGACATTCGGCTTATTACATCAGTCCATATTAAAAATGTTGACAACATCTTTGATGGAATCAGATCAGTGCTGGATTTACCTACAGGCTTAGCAGGCTAGGACCTCAAAATCTAGGGGACCTCCAGTCAAGGTTTAGAATATTTTTAACAGTCGTGGGTCTTTCTTACACAAGCTGTCATAACGCATTGTAGACTCTATATAACCCTACAATAATTTTGAACACCTGTCATCATGCTCAACTTTACTCAAAATGTTTAATTTAACACTTCCATTTTCCTTTTATGGTGAGAATAGGGTATGGGGGGGGGCACACAAATTCAATAACCTAGGGCCACTTTTCATCTAAACGCGGCCCTGAGTCATTATGTGATATGTACAATATGAATATTTTCCATAAGTAAATCCAAAGATATACACCACATAAATATATATTTGACTAACAGAGTTTTTTTCCAGTTATATGAATGAATTATTATATTATTATTTTTACATATTACTGCATTTTCCCGCTTACAAGAGGCTGCGGCTTGGAAGACGCACCCTAATATTGGAAAGAAAAAAGTAATTCTCATAAAACAGCATATTCCCATGCGTCACTCGCATACTGGCATTACGTATTGCTTACAGTAATCACTCATTTGATTTTGTTTGTACGGCAATGACATACTACTCAAGAGCAGAAAGACTCCCACCACTGCTAGTAAACAGAGTATGTTTAAGCTTGTGGCTCGGCTCCAGGAAGGTTTATAGTCTTGGAAATACTGAGGTTACATCATATAAAACAGGCTGAATTAGATAGATAGCTAACATTATAGTGTAATGACTCAACATACAAATTCACATCCCTATCAGTCAAGCCAATTAGGTGACTGTCCAAGCTTACTTGAGCTTGGGCGTTGCTTCACATTTAAGAAAAAAGTACGTTTAGTAAGCTTGAAAATGCGGTATATTGTCTTGTCTTTCTATAGTTTTCATCTATTCTTCAAATAAATATTTATTGCTTGGATATTATTATCTATTCTCATAAGAACTCCTCCCGTAATAATGGCGCGCATGAAGAGATGGCCACTAATCATTTATGCATTCCATACTCCATCCAAAACGAATCAGCTAATTGAAGATAGTGGTCATTCTTCATATTCTTTCATACTCAGTAACCCTTTGCTTCTTAGTGGCTTTATTACCTTGCTTGAATGTGAAAGGATTTAAAAGATAGGAGTCACATGATACTTAATATAATTATGCACTAAAATTCTTACAGATATTTTTGGGTTAATACAAATTTGATTCATCATAATATCTGACGGAATTAGCATGTCATTATCTTACCCAATAATCAGCATGTCATTATCTTACCCAATAATTAGCATGTCATCATCTTACTCAATAATTAGCATGGCATTATCTTATCCAATAATTAGCATGGCATTATCTTACACAATAAAAAATCTTTAAAGAGTCTTTAAAGAAAGATACTAACAAAGTGTATAATGGAAAGTAACAAGTTGAAATTTCAAATTAATTTACACACTGAAAAATATCTGCTAACACCAACGGAAGGTTTAAAATTCCCTGTATGGAATCCTTTTTAAAATAAACGATCACGTATTATAAAAACTGTTTTATTATCTTTAGAAAACAGTAATTATTGTTGGATGACCACATTTACATGTCTTCTGCTAATAACCGATTAGTATTGCTCAGGCTTCAGATAGGCGCTGCTAAGAAAATATGTAATCCTGACGTGTATAGAGACACAGCCTTTTGCAACAAGTCATGTCGGATTGCGGAATGAAGATAGCATTTTCTGACATCGATTAGAATTCCCTTTTAGGGCCGGAGAGAAGGCATGTAACACTATGCTTAATTTACCAGCAACTAGTAATTTTATTATTTAAGTCGTATTAGTTAAAGACACATCAGAAAACTGTTTTTAATTAGATTAATTAATAAGAAATAAAGAAATAATTTTTCTAGTGATAACTGTCATTGCTAATAAAGGTTAATATTATGAGAAATAGATTTAACTTTTGCTATTTTATAATGTTTTCTTAAGTTTCCCGAAAAACTTAAAATCCATTCAAGTAGAAATATATTTTCTACAAGTTTTTTTCCTGTAACTTTAATATACTAATCTTTTTTATGCCAAATTTATTGTTCAAAACTAAACTTGTCTATAAAATATCTTTGGCTTGAGTAGCCATTTGTTTTTAGTCCCAACAGGCAAAAAATTATTCTTATGAAATAGTTCCTAAGAAACGTCGATATTCAAAGATTTTTTTTTTTAATGAAGAAACGAAATTTGTCACCTTTTGACGGCCCTGTGCGGCAACAACAATGTCGAATTTGTAGGTTCCATTGTGGGGAGCGACGAAATGACCAGTCTTCACATTGTAGGCTTCACCGACGTTAGTTACAATCTCATCCCAGAAGATGTCCTTGTTCTTGGCTAGTGGGCCTAGATTCTGTTTCAAACCGACATAGAAGGCGATTTTGGGTCGAATTTTGGCAGGTGTTCCTACAAAAATATACAAAAAATATGATTGAATGGGTTATAAAATATGAAAGATATTTTATATAGTTATACGTAATATGAATAAATATTTCTGTGCAGATATATGTGGGCGAATGCGAGCATTGCAATAAATAAAAATCTATTAATATATATATATATATATATATATATATATATATGTGTGTGTGTGTGTGTGTGTGTGTGTGTGCGCGTTATAGCATATATAGACCAAAGTTTTGGGTCTGCCATCTGGAGTTCCAAGAATCACATAAAATTTTGCATCAAAATTAAAGTTTTTGTCAAAACTGATTTTATAGTTCATTTCGGACCAGATGAAATCTGTCTGCTTGAATGGTTTTATAATATATTCAGTAATAATAATAATAATAAGAAGAAGAAGAAGAAGAAGAACGAAATTAACCGATTACTGCATAAAATCTCATTAAAATTTTAATTCTTTTTGCCTAATCTAAATTGTTATGAAACTTACTAATTATTAAATATTAAATCCAGAGGGTTGCACAAAATTTTGGTCTTTAGTATATATATATATATATATATATTCAAGTGGACTAAGTCCGACAATTATTTTTAATATATTTTCTGTTTATACGTTATTTTTATAGATACAACTATTTAAATAAAAGGTATGCTTATTATAAACAGTATTAACTCATAGAAAATATAAACTGAGCATTTATTTCAAATTTTGTATCTATAGAAATAACGAATACATAGAAAATATATTAAAATAATTGTCAGACTTAGTTCATTTCATAATATATAATGTCATTTGTTTACGTTAAGATACGCTTCGAGCAGATATGAGCGTTCAAGAAAAATCATGGGGAGTTTGTAGTTTAAAAACAGTATTTTAAACTGGCTAAGTAGAAGCTTCCTCTGTAGCTAAATGGTATAGGACGTCAGACTATATATCGGTTGCGTGTATGGTATAGGGACATTCAAGCCGGTAAATGTTGTTAATACTGTTCATTATGAGCAGAGCATTTATTTAAATATTTTTATCGATAAAAATAACGTATAAACCGAAATATATATATATATATATATATATATATATATATATTTGTGTGTGCGTGTGTTTGCTTCATTAAAGGCGACTGACAAAGTGCTACGATTAAGATTTTTATTTAGTTTTTCTTGTGTTCGTATTAGTGCTGCTTGTGCTTATAAAAGAAACCAAAACATTCCTATAACTCTACACACACACACACACACACATATATATATATATATATATATATATATATATATATATATATATATATATATATATATAAACAATCCATACAGCTAAAAATTAAAATAAATATAATCATTGATAATGGTTAAAAGACCAGCCGAAAACGCTCGTATATACAGAACATTTGGACAATTTTACGCAATTTATGTTCAGAAAAGAAAAACACATCCGAACACAAGAAAAATTAAATAAAAGTTTAATCGCAGTGCCCAGGTACACAATTATATATATATATATATATATATATATATATATATATATATATATATATTGTGTAAATATGTATGAATAAATAGTGAAAGTAGTGTTCACCTCTCTAGAGATCGAAAGTTTTCCTTTCGGTCTCTGGGCTGTTGGCTTTAATTTCACTAATTAAAAATCAGGAATGTTTAGTTAAACGCGTGTAGCCACTAAATACAACGTTTATAGTTTAAAAATAATGAAGTTCCTGACGTGAGAAGAAGCAATATTTGGAAAAAAATACAACAGAAAAACATAATCTTACTTATTATAAAACGCAGGTTGTGTGTGTGTGTGTCTGTAACGTTTATATGTTGGACCGAATTTCCTACATTTTTTAGCCGATTTCAACAAAACTTCACAGGACTACATAAAATTACCTTGTGGTGGTTCTAACGGGACCGAAAATGGGAAAAATACAGTTGTTTTTTTTAATAAAATCAATTTGAAAACACGACTAAGACACATCGTGAAAATGAAAGGGGGAGAACTCACCCACGAAAATGTAAACAAAAGAGCATAGCATGATGAAAAAGACGCCGAACTTGACGAAAACAAAATTTTATCGTCTAATGTTCATATTATTATTAAAGAGGAAAGATCAAAGTATTTTGGGGGTATTTTTTTACATTTTTTAATCGTTCCTAGCACGTCTGAAATTTTCGTTAAAAATATTGTTTTTTTGGTCAAAAAAAGGGCAGATAATCATTTTCAATCATTTTTTCGATTTGATAAAAAGATTCAAATCTTACTTTGATATTCTTTTAAAAGTCAATTATCATTTTTCAAAACTGATTTTAAT